CTAGGTGTAAAGACCATTTCTGGAAAGTTTCATAGCATTTGCTCGTACCGTGTCCAAATGCATGAAGAACAAACAAACACACAAACACACAAACAGACATTCTTCTTTATATATATAGATAGATATTGAAAAGAAAGATATGAAATAAATGAAAGTTACAACATTTATTAGAGTTGATATAATTTCTCTCACGTTTTATTATGTCGATAATGTTGATAATTAGAATTTACATTGTAATAATTTGTTAGATTCATTTAATGTCATTGTAGCAAAACAGAACTTATTTTTATTGTGAGAAATATGTTGAATGTAAAAGTGATTTCCTTCTTATCAGAATGCATACGATGCATGGCATAATAATTAGTAAAGATTATAGGAACTGTGTAGTTGTTAGTTGAAGTATGTTGTAGAATTGAACACCATTTTGACATTTTTGAGTAAGTTTTATGAGTTAGTTGAAATTAAATCTGATTAAAAAAGATGAATGACACACGTTGCTATTTTTTCTGTCGAGATTTGATAAATGTGAGCAATAATGAGTATTGGAACTTAATCTGGCCCTATTCTACGTTGTGACTTACTTAATCTTTCCTCTCATGTTGGATAATAGTCATGTTATTCAATGTATTGGAATTCATTTTGAACAGTGATATGCACCACTGCTCTTGTGACATGAAAAACAAAAATGAATGCTAGATTTTTGAAGATTTTCATTATTTAAAAGAAATTGTGAATTTTATTTTAATCTCGATTTTTCTTGCTTTTTGTTTGTTTTTTGTGTAAATCTTAGTAGTTGTGTCGTGAAATGTAGATGAAGAATTTTTTTCAAATTTTTGTTTGAAATTAATCTATAAAGAGTGGACAATGAAATCTTTATTGTAATTGTACATTTCAAAGAATCACATGTGAAAACAATTTTAGCGACAGAATGTAGGAACGATGTATTGATGTTTGAAAGGAACTAAAAGAATAAGGTAGCGTATGAATTCTCTAGCTTACTCGATCTAAAATTTCATACATGTCGAACCTGAAAATTGAATTAAACTACTCAGTAATTTAATTATTCAAATATTCATTTTTCGAACATTTGAAACTGAACTGTTCAATAATTGAACTCAGCTCATAGATTTGACAGTACCGGTGGAGTTGCCACTTTAATAATTCGGTGTAGTTCTCTTTCTTTTTTTCAATAGAAACTAATGTACTAAATCATCATAATCATGTTTCCTTCTTTTTTTTGTGATGTCGTAATTATGGATGAGCTATAAGATTCTTAGATATGAAATTCTGAACTTGATTGATTAATTGAGTATGCAATATAGTACTTGCTCAGTTCATCTGAAACTTCATGTTGTATACATATTAATAAATAAAGTGTACATTCAAATGAGTGCTGGTATCTGACTTCTCTTTTAATAATATATGAGATAGAATATTCGTAATTCAAAACTTTTATTCATTGAATATGAAAACTTCTAAAAACAAAGCCTAACAAGATGTAAAGTGAATATTTTATTTATTTTGCTTCAAATTGAATTATTTTTGGATTGATAAAATAATGAAAAGGATTTTGATTAGTAATATAGTTTAGAAAGAAAAAGTAAGAAACGGACTGAATTCGAAACAACGATAAAAAATGATGTTCAAGCACTCTTTTGTGTAATATATCAATGGAAAGAATAAGTTGTCTTATGTTTTGGATTTATTTTCACCAAGGCATTCGTCGTAACATTTCAGGAACTCGTCGTCATCATATGCGAAACAAGTAAATGTACATCTTGTTTGCTCCTCGTTTGGGGTCCATGTAAATCTATCATCTCCTTCGCGTTTAATTGAATTTAATTTGGATCGGTATTGAGGCATTTTATGTGATCTTCTTTGCTCGTTGTTGGCGAAATCGTTCATTAGTCGACGTAATTCAAGATCTGTCTCACGATCGACTGCCCTTCGCTTGTTTCTGGGAGCACCTTCCATCTTCGTGATGAACAGAGTGAACAGCAGTAGTAAGACAGCAGCAACAGCAGTACGCATGTTAGACAATGATTTTGTCAGTTAAAAACAGAGTAAGAAACTAAATTACTGACAAGTTTTTGTTCACGCTAAGGATACGCCTCTGACTATATTTACGATTATGTATACATATATACTTGTATATATATATATATATGAAAGTGAATGATTTGGAACATAATTGAAAAAAAGCAATAAATTGAGGCGAAAAATATCAATTTTCTCAAGTGTGACCGCCTATTTCATCTTTTTTTTCCTTTTCTAATGCTAGTGCAGGAAAGGAAAGCAGCTCTTTTTGCTACTGAAAAAATCGATTGATGTTAATAAAAAAAATACCACGCAATTATTTCACATAACAAGGCTGCATATCAATCATACCAACCTACACAATTATCTTGAATGAGATTTTGAATCTATGAATTTCATGATTTTTTGGTTCGTTGAATATGTTCTGTCTATTTTATATGAGTGATGTAGTTTTTATTATCGACCACACTCACATTCTATGATTTCAGTAAGAGTAAATGGAATCGAGCAAGTGTATTGCCTAAAAAAAGAAATTCAATTAAATAAGGATCATTCAATAGCAATGCTCATAATTGATCAATTTTGTCAAATTTCATGAAGTAGTTTTGTCGAATTTCTTTCTTTAAATTTATTAGTAGGTGCAGTTGAGACACGTCTAACATATTGACTATGAGGATATATTGAAAATGATGATTGATACATTAAATACTGGAAAGAAAAAAAACAAATATTTGGTATAGAACAGGTCTTGTAATCACAAGTATCACTTTGCATGAAAGCAAAGCAGGAGAATGCACATGGTTTTATCAACTAGATCATAGATGTCGGTTTGCATAATAAGTGAAATACTCAAACCAAAATATATAGACATGATCTATTAAATAGATATTTGGTATCGTAAAAATGTATATTTTTAGAGTATTAATTTGAAAGTGTAGAGTAAACGTAAAAGATACACTGAGATTAATAAGAAACTGTTATTAAAAGAAAAAAACGTAGAATTCGTTTTTTTTTTATCTGTGATCAATATTGAATATATCTGAAACAGAATTGATCAGTCACTGTTGTGACAATTACAGCTCTGATCACTCCTGTTCGCTGTCATTTACGCAGACCTGTGTCATCACCGTCGTCATTAAATAAAATCATAATTATGATTGATGCATGAATCAAACAATTTAATTATCTAGTACAAATATTCCTAATTATACACGGCAATAAAGATACATAATTATGCAGCAGTTTGATTGTCAACTAGCCTTGTTGATACCATCCTCTATATATTGGTAACAGAATATGAGAAAGACGTTTTTTTTTTAATGATGATGGTTGTAATAAAAAAAGAACTCATGTTAACTGGTCATTATGATTATTTTCATTCGTATTTTATGCATGTGTATTAGATACCTTGCCAATATGCACAATTATATTCCTGTGTTTTCAACAAAGAGCTTTTATATTGAAGGATGCACATCTTTCTTTTCTTTTTATTGTTGATACGAATACCATACTTAGAGATACAAGAAGTTTTCATAAAATATTTAAAGCGTTCATTGTAATTATTTATCGACCATCTTCTTTGTTCAATCGATTTGCAACGAAGAATATGCAATAATCAATGATCAACAAATTCATTCACTAGCTAAGGATAACTAACACTGTTTATATTTTTGTTTAGTGCATCACTTTTTTCTTTACATCAATCGATCTATAAAATACCATATACTATGAAGTTCGAAGAATCAAAAATATATTAATCGGTATGGATTTTAGTGGATCACAAAACTCTATATAGACTTGTTCACAATTAAGCGATTGCTTTGTCCACGTGGGCTCTTTTTTTTTGTAAAGCTTTATTGCAAGTCATGAATTTTCTCATTGATATTAATTTACCATGAAACATACGCTAAAGAAATAATCATTTACCTTAAAAGTGGAAGAATTCTGGCGAACTCTAACCGAATATTCCTTATATTGAATAGTCTAGAATTGTACAGAACGGTAAATACTTTACTTGTTCAACCTTTTAAACACAACTACCTTCCTTATACTATCATATAATTTTTTTAACTTTTAATATTGTGAAATTCTAAAGAGAGAAAATCAATTATCTTAGAACGAAATACACAACACAAGCGATCTTCTCTGCCATTAAAATAGTTTTCTTAGATGTGAATATGCTTCTGGATATCAGTGACATTCATATGAACTTGCCCCAGGCATCCACATTCTCCGTGACTATTAACTGTATCTAATAGGACTTGAAAAGTTCTATAAAACTCTTTACTAATAATCATTAGAAAACATAGTTCTGTAAGGAATAAAATACTTATTAAAAATAAATTTTCTCATTTTCATGGATAGTTGTACATTACACCTACATCCAAACCCAAATAAATTTTTGATAAACGACAAGGTTTTTCTATATTGCTTTAGTCTAAACACTCTTCGGACTTTATGAAAAGCATTGGGCATCCTAATTATTTTTGAATGATTCTAAATAATAATATGAACTATCAAATGATAGTATTATTTATTATAATTTCAAAAACAAATTCTTTCTAACAATTTTTCTTAATAGAAAATAATAAGATTTTCTATTGTTTTCTTTTTAACAGAAACAAAAAATTATCATTTGTAGAAAAAAAAAAGTGCTCAGGTTCCGTTTTTCATTTCCTAATAATACTAATCACAATGAAATAGTATTTTACATAAATTAATATTTGTCGTTGAATTTAAATTTGTCTTCATCAAAATTAATTGTCATTAAATCTTTGTTTTTTTTAATTGTTTGAATAATTTTATTACATGTTTTTAATTTAAAATGATGAATTTTTAATAAATGTTTTTTTAATGAACTTACAAAAATTAATCTTGTACAATTTAAAGATTTTATTTTATTTAATGGACATCGAATACGACGAAAACGTTGATCAATAATATTGAATTCAGATTGAAAAATACATGTTTTTAATGGATCTAATTTATTAATTATAGCTTTTGTTAATGCCGATGATAATGTCCATGTTAAATGATGATAATGATTAAAATGCTTTAGTAAACAAATATCAGATTTATTTCTTTTTGATGAACATAAACGTAATTTGTGTTCAGCGGTTATACCATATATACCAAGACGAGTTAATGGACATTGACCATAAAAATGTCTAATAGTATTATATGTCGTATTTGTAAAATTAAACGAAAAAGATTGTTCTATATTATTTTTATTACTAGAAAAGAATGTCAAATCAAATTATGACATTAAAGCAGAAAAAGAAAATTTTTATTACTTTTCTGTTGTCATTTTATCCTGATGATATTCATGAATTTGTTTTAAATATAATTTAATTTGTTCAATATCATATTGATATAGAAAAGCTTGGCCATTTTTAACATCATTTAAAACTTGAAGTTTTTGTTTGATTAATTTTTGTGTTAAAATAAGAAGTTGAAATTCTTGTTCGAGTTTATTTATTTTATTTTCATAATTTTCATTAATAAGAAAAGTATCTTTTCGATAATTATTATTAAGATATTTCTTATTTTCTTCAATCGAATTAATTAATTCATTTAATGATTCAGTAACTTTACTGAAATACTTTTCATATTGAGCAACAAATAAATCTTTATGTTCAGTTATATGTTCTTGACATAAATCTAATTGACAATGATTTGAACATGTTGCTGATATTAGACGAGTACAGAAAGGATGTTCACAAATTTCAGACATAAATGTGGGTATTCAGTGAGATAATATCTATCCGAACCAAAATAAGTGAATGGAAGAAATTTCGAATATTTCGAAGGAGGACCGATGAGAAAGAAAACGGAAGAGTGGTTTTTTTTTCTGTAAAAAACTATAGAGGTCACTAATAATAAAATAATATATAATA